GTCATAAAACATAAATTGTTGAATAATAAAAATGAAATTCGAAAAAAATAAATAAATAAACAGATTTCATAGAGCCCTACTCTTCTCAACAATATGTTGCATATTTTATTTATTTATTTGTTTTGTTTGTCCCGAAGCAAACATTTGAAGGAATACTTTATTTTATGTGAAAGTTCAACGGGATTGTGTTTAAAAAAAAACTTCTACAAGGCAATTCAATGTTCTTAAAAAAAATACAATGTTCCTAATTTGCTCAATAATCTATTTCAATCATTGGGATTAACTTCTAATTCTAATGAATAATTTTATCATAATTGTTTGTACATGTGTGCCGTGCTCTCATGCACTGGGCTCTAGACCAAGGAGTGCACCGTGCACATGATTTACTGTGTGTGAGATACCAAGAGAGAAAAATTCCCAGGATAGTTTAAAGGAGATCAGGACCAACAGAAGAGCAAATGTTTGACATATAAAGAAACACAACTATCACAAATATCATCACACCCTACTGTTGAAAATACGCAGTGACTGAGCGGTCAGTATTTACTTGTGCTGTTGTTTCATTCACAGCTATGGAAGGTACGTGGAAGGAACTGGCTCTGTGCTGCAGTGCTGCTTGGAAACTGAGGTGGGTCTCAGGAAACAGGGCTCAAAAACCAGTGCTCAAGTCTGGTACCCAGACATCTTCCACTGAGCTCATTTTTCAGTTTCTTTGGTGCTGACTGTAAAACTGACTGCAGTGATCAGTGATCAATATTTACCAAAACTGATATAACATTTTTAAATGTGTTAAATTGGAATACCAAATATATATATATATATATATATATATATTTATCTAGATGTTACTACAGCAGGGGCTGTGAAACTGGTCAGAGTAGATGGGAAGATGGATGAAGTCATCAAGTTCACTAAAAAACAGTGTTTATACCAAAGACTTTTAGTGTCAAATCAGAGGCAACTCTGTCAGAATTTATTAAAATAAGGAATTTTATTTAACTTTCTCTATGCTGCTCCCCTCTTCAGGGGGGTGCCACAGTGAGTGGTCTTTCATGCAAGAAATGGCAAGTTTAATTATATGTAGGCCTGTCACGATAACAATTTTTTTGTCTCAGAAATTATTGTAATAAACAATAATATTATTTGAAATTTGACAACAATTAGTAATTGTCAAATTTATGAAGAAATGTTGGTTAATTTGTTTTGTGTGTAGTACCTTTTTCTGACCACTGGATGGCAGTATAAGACTGTTTGAACCAAAGGATGGATAGTGAAGGAGCGAACAGCACGTCTCTTTAAGAAAAATGGGAGGGAGGTCCCTTGACGTGACATGGGCTGTCTCTCCTTTCTGTTTGTTCTTTCTCAAAATGGTGGACGCTCGGTGTGGTTAGAGTTCTTAAACAGCATTTGTCACACAAAGCTTTTAATAAAAAAATCAGTAAACAAGTTCTCAGCTTCTTTTTGCAGAGAAAAACAACTTTTTACATGAAGGCACGGGTTTCAACCGTGAATTTTAGAGCTTCGACAAGATGGAGGTTTTTTCCCCCCGAGGTCGGCCTGTTAGCTTAGCTACTGTATATGTACAGTATATATATATATATATTTATATGTATGTATGTATGTATATATGTGTATATATATATATATATAAATATCTATATATCTATATATCTAGATCTATATATATATAGATATAGATATAGATATATACAGTGCCTTGCGAAAGTATTCGGCCACCTTGAACTTTTCAACCTTTTGCCACATTTCAGGCTTCAAACGTAAAGATATAAAATTTTAATTTTTTATGAAGAATCAACAACAAGTGGGACACAATCGTGAAGTGGAATGAAATTTATTGGATGTGTCGAACTTTTTTAACAAATAAAAAACTGAAAAGTGGGGCGTGCAATATTATTCGGCCCCCTTGCGTTAATACTTTGTAGCTCCGCCTTTTGCTGCAGTTCCAGCTGCAAGTCTCTTGGGGTTTGTCTCCATCAGTTTTGAACATGGAGACACTGAAGTTCTGCCCATTCTTCCTGCAGAACAGCTGGAGCTCAGTGAGGTTGGATGGAGAGCGTTTGTGAACAGCAGTCTTCAGCTCTTTCCACAGATTCTCGATTGGATTCAGGTCTGGACTTTGACTTGGCCATTCCAACACCTGGATACGTTTATTTGTGAACCATTCCATTGTAGATGTGTCTTTATGTTTTGGATCATTGTCTTGTTGGAAGATAAATATCCGTCCCAGTCTCAGGTCTCTTGCAGACTCAAACAGGTTTTCTTCCAGAATGGTCCTGTATTTGGCCCCATCCATCTTCCCATCAATTCTGACCATCTTCCCTGTCCCTGCTGATGAAAAGCAGGCCCAAACCATGATGCTGCCACCACCATGTTTGACAGTGGGGATGGTGTGTTCAGGGTGATGAGCTGTGTTGCTTTTACTCCTAACATATCATTTTGCATTGTGGCCAAACAGTTGGATTTTGGTTTCATGTGACCAGAGCACCTTCTTCCACATGTTTGGTGTCTCCCAGTTGACAAACTTTAAACAACACTTTTTATGGATATCTTTGAGAAATGGCTTCTTCTTGCCACTCTTCCATAAAGACCAGATTTGTGCAGTGTACGACTGATTGTTGTCCTATGGACAGACTCCCACCTCAGCTGTAGATCTCTGCAGTTCATCCAGAGTGATCATGGGCCTCTTGGCTGCATCTCTGATCAGTCTTCTCCTTGTTCCAGATGAAAGTTTAGAGGGACGGCCGGGTCTTGGTAGATTTGCAGTGGTCTGATACTCCTTCCATTTCAATATGATTGCTTGCACAGTGCTCCTTGGGATGTTTAAAGCTTGGGAAATCTTTTTGTATCCAAATCCATCTTTAAACTTCTCCACAACAGTATCTCGGACCTGCCTGGTGTGTTGCTTGGTCTTCATGATGCTCTCTGCGCTTTGAACAGAACCCTGAGACTATCACAGAGCAGGTGCATTTATACGGAGACTTGATTACACACAGGTGGATTCTATTTATCATCATCAGTCATTTGGGACAACGTTGGATCATTCATAGATCCTCACTGAACTTCTGGAGTGAGTTTGCTGCTCTGAAAGTAAAGGGGACGAATAATATTGCACGCCCCACTTTTCAGTTTTTTATTTGTTAAAAAAGTTTGACACATCCAAGAAATTTCATTCCACTTCACGATTGTGTCCCACTTGTTGATTCTTCACAAAAAAAATAAAATTTTATATCTTTATGTTTGAAGCCTGAAATGTGGCAAAAGGTTGAAAAATTCAAGGGGGCCCAATTCTTTCACAAGGCACTGTATATATACATATATGTATGTTGGCAAATATTCTGCAGATGGCTTGATGAATTTTCTTCATCAATGAGTCTTCATCAATCACAGCTCACTGGGGTACTGGATCCATCCATCCATCCATCCATCCAGGCTGCCACCCTGTTCATTTATCAATCAATTAGTCTGGCAGTTCATCCATCAACTCAGCCAGCCTGAGATCATTCCACTTCTCTTACTGTCCCTCCTTGGTGTCTGATGTAAAACCTACGAAAGACTGAATTATTTTAATTTGGCATTGTATGTCTTAATGAAAGAAGTTTCAAATTAAAAGATGGTTTCACTTTATTACCACGGTTTTACTTCACAATTTGCTTGAAGGAAATATTTTTGGTTGTTCTTATGCTTTTGCGGCAGTGCATCAGATTATCTTGATGAAATAACCATGAACAGTTAATTTAATCTTTCTCCAAAGATTTTGTTTTGAATTTGATTTGAACAGATGTAATCAATTAATGAGGAAGTTCGAGTTATTTCAAGTAAATCTGTCTGCGCTTCATCCTTTAAACACGATGGTCTAAAGTCTTTCTGTCTGTGTGCTCTGCAGATTGAGGGTGTGTTTACGGGTCTGGACCAGCTGTCAGAAACGGACAAACTTGAACAGCTGTTGAAATTAAAGCTACGGTATTTCACTCCCAGGGAGGTAGCCAACCTCATGGGTTTCCCTCCACATTTTAGTAAGTTTAAATGTTCAAGAACATTAATTTAAGGCATTTTTATAAGCAACCTGCTTGTGTCAAAATGTTAACAGCCACCTACTGAAGGGGGCCTGCCGGTCACTATTTTAAAGGAAACAGGAGGATAAATGTTTAACCTCCTAGGACCTGGCGTCCACATATTAAAGAGTCTGGGTTTCAGGAGGTTAAACATCATTTAGAATCCCTGCATTATGAGCTATTGGTCTTTCTGACACACACACAAACGGGCAATATTGTGTTGATCCCAAACTGTGTATAGCCAAGGCAGTCCACTGACCTACATGGATGCTATAATATATTTATGGATACAGTAGTGCCTCGTTTATTGCGTTGGTTACGTTCCGGACACCCGGAAGTGACACCAAGTGAAAATCCGCAAAGTAGCGAGGTTATATTTATTTTAGTATTTATATATATTTTAAGGCTTTATAAACCCTTCCCACACTTTTGCAATGTTATTTTAACAACATACGTATATGTACTGTACAGTACTATATGGGAACTCACCATCTTTGGTCCAGTTCTGGTCGGGTTCTGATCATCTCTCTGCATCCGCTGGGTGCCGACGTCACTATGAATAAGGACTGAACTTATTCGGATCGGATCAAAACTTGCCCTCCATTTCAGCAGAAGGCAACAGGGTTTCTGGGCGGGGCACTGTTGGCTTCTGGGAAATGTAGTCATTTTGAGAGGTGATACAGTGTAGGCTTATTGAGAGGAAACTACACAATCGCGGTGCCTGTCCAAATATTTTTTTTGTTAACTTTCTATTGTATAGTACCATGTACTGTCCCAATCATGTGATTAATATAAAAGTTGACAATCGTGTGTTGTATACAATTTTTTTTTCTTGTGTACAATGTTACTTTGAAAAACCGCGAAAGAGCAAGTCCACAAAAGTCGCACCGCAAAGTAGCAAGGAACTAGTGTATTCTCAAATCTCCCCCCTGGGATTAATAAAGTGTCTGTCCGTCCGTCTGAATGCAGTTAAAGCCATCTCTGCGTTACTTGGCTGTGAACGCTGCACTATAAATTTGAATAGTCAGTCTTAATCACAGTTCTCATCCCCATGTTTGTGATTACTGGTTATGTAAGTCCATAAATAATCACAAATAAAGGCTACAAAAGAAACAAAGCACTCGTTTAGCTTTAACATGGTCACAAGCTGGTAACCCTCTCTGGTCATTACGCAGAAGTGGAATTGTGAAAGTATTCGTTAAGCTGTAATATTTATCCGCCTGATTCTTTTTAATGTCCTTACAGCTTTTCCGAAGAGCATCTCAACGATTCAGCGGTACAAAGTTTTAGGAAACAGCCTTAATGTTGCTGTGGTGGCCAGGCTCGTCCAGCTGCTGCTCTCTGAACACGCTGGACGTTCTACAGGAGATCCACCTGTTCTGGACCATCCCTTCAGTGGGTGCTGTCTGTCCACCGCCTGTTGACGAGCATGTTCACTCTCCAGATTGTGGGTCAAATCCTCAATATGAATGTTTTTTTGTTGTTGTTGAAAAACATCTATTGTTAAAACATATGTATATCTTTTAATAAACTGCATACTCAGTTAAATCTTATTTGGAGTTTAATATTCACCGTAATTTTTGTGCAGACAACTTGTTTATGTCTATAAATACAACCAGATACGACACAGTCTTTTAGGAACATGTAGGTTTACTGATTTTTCTTTTCTTTTCTCAATTAGTTCAAGTTTTAATTTATTTACAGCTTCGATCACTGATATTTAAATACTAGACTGTTTTAAAAAAGTAAATGTGCTTTTACAAATAAAGCAACCGTCAGGCAGCACTTTTTGAATGGACTTGAAGCTAAATGCTACAAAAGCAACAGATCTCAACAAATAGCAGTTCTTTAGACAGAATCATTGCAATCACTGATTTTCAATAGAACTTCAAATACCTTGGAATATCCCAGGAAGTTGGCAACCTACAAAAAAGTGAGCACATGAGCCTCAACTGATTTATCAGTCAGGTCGTGATGTTTGCTATTGTAACTGACGCTATGGCTCATGAACACAAGCTGTTTTTTTAGTCTAGTGTCTGCATTTAGTCCTAAAAGTGTCCTCCTGGGAGTGTGCCGAGTCCAGAGACTTTTTTTATGGTAAATGGACTTTACTTATATATCACCTTTCTATCTTATCAAGATACTCAAAGCGCCAGTGTTGTATAAAGTACCTCAAAGTGATACTTCAGTGAAAGTGCACGTATCTTACCATAAAATTACTTTGGTAAAAGTTAAAGTCTCCTTTAAAATTATTACTTAAGTAAAAGTCTTAAAGTATTGGACATTTAATGTAGTTAAGTATCAAAAGTAAATTTATCTTATAAAATGTACTTAAAGTAAGAGTATTAAGTAAAAGTAAGTGGTTATAATTTCCAAAACACCATTTATTGGGTGCAATATTCAGTGACAAAAACTTGGAAAGTTTGAACTGAACACTGAAAGATTTGCTCTTTAAAAAGTGATTCTAATGAAGTATATTCATTCAACCTTTATTAACCTTTATTTATTTATTTTTTTCTTCTTTCGGCTGCTCCCTGCTTTAGGGGTCGCCACTGCGAACTAAGTAACACGAAGTCTTGGCAGTTATTTTTATGCCTGATGTCCTTCCTGACACAACCACAGACACCGAGCGGAGCAGAGCGCTTCTATCTAGGACACCCGGAGGGGCAGATGGTGGGGGTTAAGGGCCTTGCTCAAGGGCCCAGCAGGTGTGGGTGCTTCACCTACCCCACTCACATTTTTGATGTTGTCGGTGCCGGGGCTTGAACCGGCGATCTTCCGATCACAGGCCTACCTTCTCTAACCTCTGCGCCACCACTCCCCTTGAAGGATTTATGTTTTTGTTTAATTCAAATCTGTAATTGTTAAAGTTTCTATAATTAATAATCCAGAATATTAGTGCTTATTGAACATTTATCAATCACAGTCATTTCTTTTAAACTGCG